TGTGGCAAGTTTCACTAGTGTTTTTCCTATCTGATTTGCAACTGGAAAAATCGGAGTTGATGTACTCAACCAAGGTGATAACATGGTTGATGCATTATTAGATATTGAGGGAAATACTAACCATTTGAGTGATACTTAGTGATAGTATGATTAGATGAATAATTGACTATTGATTTAAACATGTTTTAAAATCATACTTTGGTTGAGAAATAATTTCATCTTCACGCTACAGTTTATGGATGCTTATAATATTGATTGTGAACTTGCATTTTAAGAAAATCATGTCCTACTTCAAAACAGCTCTTTCAAAAAATTTCTTGATTAAGTTTTTAAACCTTACATTGATCAAGTTTTTAAACCTTACATCAACTATGCATATTAAATCTTTCTAAATTATTTGTATTGATTTTTTTAGGACAAACAAAAAGGTAAGTTGGAGAAAGTTGATAAGTTCCCAAAAACGTAAAATTCATAAGCACTTATTAACATAATTCACAAGTAATAAATGGAAAACCCCAATTTATCATCAAAATGAGATAAAACTCCTATATGAATTTTTTTACTAGGTATTCACTAAGAACATGTAAGAATAACTAAGAAAACACAAATACAAAATTTAAAGATCTTGTCATATCACCTTCCAAGAATCAAAGCTCGCTAACCCAAAAACAAGGTCTCGTTGAGTGAGCAATGGCGATAAAATATGACTTCAAAGCCAAGTGGCTTCAAGATTAAGCAACAAAGGTCTCTAATCACAATATTAAACTCATTAACCATAATATCAAACACTGTAAGTGAGTTATGGAGGTTCATGATTCATAACTAAGTTACTTCAAAGAGAAGTAAAGGTTTTCTCGCTAAGAGAGAGTGAATGATAGACTAAGAGAGGTATTGGTGGAAAAGACCGCTTGAAGATGAGTTGACATGACTCAGGGGAGAAGAAAGTAGGCACGCTAAGCAAGATACAAGTCTCGTTTAGCGATAAGGCCATATAAGAACCTTATATATATATATATATATAGGTTCTAGTTAGTTTAATGGAGATAAATTTTGGTGAATTCTATGTAGTTTTAATAGAAAGACTCTTGATACCAAAATCCTAACAAGAGAGAAAGTGAGCAGAAAATTGAGAGCAGACGTTGTTCAAGGAATAAACATAAATACTTTTCGACATCTTTCTTTTAGATCATCATTGTAAAGTTATGATGAGTAAGCGTCACTAATTTCTCTTTTGTTGAGGGTTAGATATATTTGTTATAATACCCATGTATCAATTATGATCACGATGCTCTATGTAATTCTTCTTATGCTTTAACATTGATGAATTATTTGTGTTTAATGTTTGTTTTGGATTAGCTACCTAAAACATGTTATTGTGGTTTTGAAACAATATTCAAAATTTTAAACCCTAGCGATAGATTTAGGTTTAGTATTCACATAAACTATTGAAGCTTAATGTTATTGTATCGGTTAATAGGTCGATAGATTGTCTATTAGGTAATACAATTAATTTCATTTTATTGACCTAGACACGAGCTACGATGCAAAGTTATGAATTATAATATTAATAGATGATTAAATTTTCATATTAATGATCACGATTATACACGAGGTCAGGTCGGTGAAATCTAACCCCTACAAGTCTTCTCAATCTATTAACACTAATGTTAAATTTATTTTATGTTATTCCAATTTCACAAACAAACAACCTTTGCAAAACCACTCTTAAAATCATATAAACTATTGAACGATCTTTGAAACATAATCAGTTCATGTGAAGACGATAAAAACATATTCAATCTTGTACTACAACACTTTTGTATGATCCCCACTAGAACTGCCATGATAGTAGGTTATCACTTTTGAGCGTTGAGGTGAGTAGTGAACAAATCACACAGTTCTTTCCATGAGTTTATGCTCTTATCTAGGAGGATTTTGAACACATACATAAAATCTCTATTAAGAGCTAAAGCAAAAAGTTTAGACTTCAAGTTTACCTAGGCGTGGTAATAATCTAGCTTATTATTGACGCGTTCAACGTGTTCACCAGAATCCCTAACGTTGTTGTAACTTTCTAGATTTAGAGGTTTCGCAAGGGACCGTGGGATCATGTTGTCAAGAATGCTAGCAGAGAGTGAATTCCTCTTTCACATAGAGATTTGGGCATTTGCATCGTACTTTTCCCTTTTTCCGAGAGTAAGGTGTTAGTGTGGGCTATGGGGGCGGTGGATCTCTAGAGGGGTGTGACTGTAAATTCTCCCTCCAAAGTCAAGTATGGGAATACGATGTCTTTTTCTTAGGTTACGACTTAGAGACCTAAGAAATGATTTGTGCACTGAGGTTGCATCTATTGAAGCCGATTGTAGTATGACCCTGTGATCTCCAAGGGATGTTATCTCGCGCTTAGTGTTGATTCTTGGAGGAGCACATTGCAGGTTCTATTCAATTTTGAATATCTTGTCTACTAAAGCCTGTGATTTTTGTTGTTGTACTAGGTTGTAAACACTATTTAAGAGGTGAATGCTCCTTGCATGCCTATATCGGTTCACAATTGTTGAATGTTCAAGAGCATCTCGTGCCTAAGTATTAGCGGATGTGAATGAGGTTGTTGTGAAGGTTGACCTTGGAAAATGGTTGCATAAGTTGGAAGAATGGTAAGGCTTGGAACGTTCCCTGGTCAATTGTTCGAGGAACAAGATCTTCTTGCGTAGGAGTGGACGAAGAAGTCACTAGAACTAGATTGTTCTCTAACGAAGGGAGAGGTGGAACTTGATTAGCTTCAGCGACCAAAATATTGGTATGAAGTTTATCGACAGATCTGGTAACCTTTGGTGTCATCATGGCTTAAAGAGTTCGTTATCTAATATGTTTGAGAAAGAAATCGAGGTTTTGCAAGAGGAAGATTGGTGATCCATCATTTACGAATAGACAATAATCTTCGTAGAGAAGTTGCAAGAATCAAGAGTCGACTTCCCTAAAAAGTGTCAACGTTCTGTCATAGAAGCAAAAACGTGTAGTAAAGCGATGAGATGAAGTCTTGGCACGGTGGAGCAAGCTTTTGGTACATCGGAGAAAAGGTGGACCTGCAAGGTTAGCACTTTAACCCCCAAGTAAGTTATTGAGTGAAAAGTGGTATAAGAGTGAGAATGAATTGAATATCTAAAATGACGCGATATTGTCTTTATGTTGTTTGGCCGTTAAAACTGCCCGCGTGTGATTCAACATCTTGTGTGAATGGCCATTTGATTAGATATCAACAATGAGAGATGTAAAGGAGATATGATAATGTATCCTAGCAGAAATAAGAGCCCATTTGTGATGGCTAACAAATTTGATTTTCAACCATTTTTCTCATAATTTGATTAATTTATGAAATTTGTGATTTTAAGGTGATAATATGGTGTTGGAATCACATAATTATATCTAATATTGGAGTTGGGGCATAATTGAAACAAAGTAAAATTTAGAAATAAAATGATGGAAAAGATAGAAATGAGGCGCCACACTCTTTCTATGATTTAGAAAGGATGATAAGTATAAGTGAAGATCATCACAAGAAATTTGGTTTTTTGATAAGATCAAAATATGATCCAATCCAAAATCAAAGGAGCAAAGCTCTCAAATTTACACAATGTGTTCGTTTAACAAAATTCAACTTGATTTTTCATTCATGGTTAGCTCCCTATTTATAAGTAAAAGGTAGCTTAAAATAATAACTCAAGAAATTCTACAACTTCAACCCACTAATCTAATAATAATGTTCTGAGAATAAAATGTCACACACATAATGGTCATGGAGAAAGTGGACATTTATTGTTTTTCCTTCTTCTTCTCATTCTTCTCATTCTTATTGATGAAGATTTTCGAGACATAAAGAAATATAATTTCGTCTTGACCCTAACAAACAAATTGTAGTTTTTTTTTTAAAATTTTCCAACGCTTTAAAGATCATGTCAATCCGACACCTGAAATTTTAGATATGACCAAAACAAAAAAGGTGAACCAACAAATATAAAATTGTTTAGTTATTATAAAATAAAACCATAAATAAAATAAAATATTTATTTTATTCTAAATATTTTTTTGTATGAATAAACTCCTAATCTTAATCAATTATGTACAGTAGTTAAAATTTTCCACAAATCATGTATAAGAAAAAGATAGAGCATAACATTGCTTTTGTGGTGGGTGTCTCCTTTAATTTTTGAACACTATAAGATTTTATCTTTTTCTTTCAATATCTCAAACACAATCTTTGTGGACCTTTGCTCCAATGCAAGACCAAATTCATAAATAGTACGTCTCTTTATTCTAGCTTTTGCGCTTCACTGAAAAGGGAAATTGGCCGTAATTTTATTCACACTTCACACCCGTGACAAACCACACAAATTATGCACTTGTAAAATAAACTCATCCAAATTCTAAGGTTTACATTATTATCTTCCTTTTCACTCACTTAATTTGACTGTGAAGTTTGTGATCCTCTAGCTTCTTGGGAGAGAACAATTGTAGACCCCATTCATTGTAGACCCCATTCCCTCAATCATGGCTCAAAAGAAGATTCCCTCACCAAATAATACAAAATCAATGGACCCAACTTGATAGTTCCTAGCTCCTACATTTGGTTACTTAACAACTTATATGCCACCAAACATATTCCAAGTTTCATACCAATTACATCATACTGTCATTTCTATTATTTTCTTCAAACTCGGTATCTGGTCTGGTCCTAAAACAGTCTAAAGGAAGACCAATTTTACTGTCCACTTCGTATCATTTAAAACTAGAACAAACACTGTGAATTGTTAGCACATAACTTAATTCGAATTTAAAACCTTAGGACGAGGACGTTCTCGGATCTCAATCCTTAATCAACATGTCAATATAGTGATTAAAATACATATTTAACAACTATTGACTAAAATAAGCAAAAAGAATAGATTCAATGCATATTGATATGAACTAGTTTTACAGTGACAATATATCAGACTCAAAGAATCTCAATGTGGAAGAGAAATAGGTGTTTCTATTACATGAGGAGTTATTGGAGTAGAACCATCTGATCTAGATTCAGTGGAAAGTCTATTTCCACTATTACCCCTATGAATGTCTTCAACCATTCTCAAAACTTCATCCATCTTTGGTCTTTGATCTTGTATCCTCCCAACACAAGCCATACCAATTTGTAACATCTCAACCATTTCTTCCTCTATATTAGGATATCTCAATAACTCCAAATCAAACACTTCAGAAGTCCATTCTTCTCTAACCACAGAATTCACCCACCTAACCAAATGAACAACTTCCTCACCTACATGTAAAGGAGATTTTCCAGTTAAAAGTTCAAGTAACAAGACACCGAAACTATAGACGTCAGCCGCCGGAGTTGCTTTCCGACTTTCTGTTACTTCAGGTGCAAGGTATCCTGTTGCCCTTGGAGATGTTGGAGTTATTATCATTGTTGCTAGACCAATGTCACATATGGAACCATACCCTTTAGAGTTGAGGAAAATGTTTGAGGCTTTTATGTTTCCATGGACTAGTTTTCCTTCTTCTAGTGCATGTATGTGTGCAATGCCTCTTGCTACACCAATTGCTATTCTCAACCTCGTTTCCCAGTCTAAAGGAATTCTATCTGCCCCTCTTTTGCCTGCAAAGTGGTACAGCATGCCAAATCATATAATTAAAATTAACAACTTCTAAAAAGCCCTCATAAAAATTACACAATACCGACACTGACACGTCAACACAGTAATAATTTGAAAAATAAATAATAAATTCAACATAATCACAATTCAAAAGTGTTGTTGATGGTTTCCGATATCGACACAGACACGGGCACACCCTTTTTCAGAGATGTCAGTGCTACAGAGGAACTAACTACTAACTATCTGATTCGAGATATGAGATACACGTCATATGTATTGTAACCGGTAAGATATTTCAACTGCATTTAGAACTAACTCATTCAAAATAATTGTTAGATAGAAGAAAATGTTAAAAATAACATACCATGCAACATTGCTGAGACACTGCCTTGTTCATAAAAATCATAAACCATAAGTTTCTCCTCCTTTGAATAGTAATAAGCCCTTAGAGCAGCCACATTCTCATGCCTAATCCGTCCAACCATCTCCATCTGCTGTTCGAACTCCCGCTTCCCGACTGTAACCTCCTTCAGCCTCTTAACCGCGACTGTCGTCGCCTCCTCTAAAGCAGCCTTATAAACCGTACCAAAAGTTCCCTTTCCAAGCACCTCAGCAGAAGCTCTCAACAAATCTTCCAAGTCAAATACATAATTGCAATCTTCAAAGAAGACGATTTTGTTTCCTTCTAGACTCTCAGAAGCTTCTTTCTTATCAGAAAAATTTTCTTTATTCTTCTGAGACTTAACAAGTTGTCCAGCTTCGCCGTGTTTCTTGTAACAGCACACAATCCAGAAAACTGCTATGATTAAAATTCCTACTACACAACCACCAATGATGATACCTAATAACACTTGTTCTTTAAGCCCTTTGGTTTTTTTCCTTTTCTTATGAGAATTTGGAGGATAAACATTTACAAAGTTAAGATTGTTACCTGAAAAGGCCAAACTTGGAAATCTATGAAGTGTTTTAGGCACAACACCACTAAGATTATTGTTTTCCAAATTGAGATCTTTAAGGCTGGGAATATTGATATCAGGAATTTCACCTGAAAGGGTGTTATTAGCCAGAATCAAAGAAGTGAGATGAGTCAAATTTGAAACTGATAAAGGAATGCTTCCATTAAAACCATTGTTGGAAAAATCAACAACAGTTAGATTATTCCAAACTGAAAAATCTAATGGCAATGGCCCAGAAAACCTGTTGAATTGGAGGAAAAGAAAGGTCAAATTTTCCAGCTTATAGAAATCAGAAGGAAAGAAACCAGTTATACTATTTGATGCAAGATTCAAATTTTGAAGAGCTTTGAGTCTACTAAGAGTGTTAGGTGGAATTGAACCATTCAGTCCAACACTTTGTAGCTGAAGGGATATAACTCTTGATTTTTCCGTATTGCAGGTAACTCTAGTCCATTTTTTGCATACAGAAGAACTCTTGTTCCAATTGAGATGTGCAGAGTGATTCATGTTGTGAAGGAAATCCAGTAAAGCCTGTTTATCTGCCACTGGTTCAGCTCCAATAGAAATAAAGAACATTGCTCCAATCATGAAAGTTTCTGAGTAAAAGAACAAAAGGGCCATCTTGTTTCTCATTCTTGTAGATTGAATAAAGAAATTTGGATGTAAAGCAAAGCAAGTATATGATATTTTTTCAAAGCTGAAATAAGAAAGAAAATTGGGTGAGAAGCATGATAGAATCTATTGTCCTGTGCCTTATATATGTAACTTGATGATATATTGGAATGATTTTCTTAAATTTTGACATTAAAGGCTAAAACATAATCAACTATAACTAAAGTGTGTTTTGTAGTCAAAATAAGCAGCACTTTGACATGGAAAATAAGCTTATTAGCTTTTTGCTGTTTACCTACTTTGTTTGTTTCCCAAAGGATTCCAATCAAAAAGATGTATACCAAACTTTGAAACTATGAGTAGAATAGTTTAATGACAAAGACTATGTCACTATATCAGCAAAAAAAAAACAGTACTACATCATTTTGTGGAATTTGTAAACTGAAATACCAGAACATTTTCCATATGTATATACTAAAATTAGCATGAAAATGTTGAATTTGATAATTTATTTTCTATGTTTTAGAAATAAATGTCAACAATACTCATTGATGCAATAAAACAAACACATGAAAGGCAATCCAATCCATAAGTTGATTATGTCACAAAACATACTAATTTAGTTAGAATCTTAAACTAAACCAATACCTATATTGCTTCTTCTTCTAGCTTTTATGGACAAAACTTTCTACGATTCTTCTTCCTATATAAATTTGAGTGAGGAAATAATGGAGATGCAATTATAAAGAGAAGTGTTGATTGAAAGACTAGACAAAGGTTTGTCTTGAGCTTGGTTTAGCCATGTGCTACAACATAGCTAGCTTATAGTGTATTTCATTTAATGTAGCCTATAGTTTATTTCATTTAGGTCTATCATGTCAAAATATAGTATTCATCTTTGAATTAAGTGCTACTTTGACATAGTGGGACATGAATGCTCTAGATTCATTTAATATGAGATAATGAAAATAGTAAATAGACTACCAAACTTATACTGTACATCAAAGTTGGTTGCCTTATGAATCAGAATAGTAAATACTCTTTTAGTTTAAAAAAATTAATCTTTTCCATATATATATATATATATATATATATATATATATATATATATATATATATATATATATATATATATATATATATATATATATATATATATATATATATATATATATATATATATATATATATATATATATATATATATATATATATATATATATATATATATATATATATATATATATATATATATATATATATATATATATATATATATATATATATATATATATATATATATATATATATATATATATATATATATATATATATATATATATATATATATATATATATATATATATATATATATATATATATATATATATATATATATATATATATATATACACGAAACATGTAAATATTTTAACATGATGAATTTATGTTTTACGTTAAAAAATTATTAAGTCACGTGATCGTATGTTAATTGAAAAAACTCTAATAAATTCTTTTTGTGATTTTTCAAATAATGAAAAATTCAAATAATATTTTAAAAGTGTATTTAGATGAAGTATTTTTACGAGGAAAAATAATTTTTTGAAAAATTTAAAATGATTTGACTAAAATTTTTTGTTTGAATAAAAAATATAAAAAATTGTTAAAATGATGTAAACTTATGAAATACTTTGTTTATATTTCAATTTTAAAATAAATCAAATTTTATTGAGTTTTTTCTTTCTTATTTTTTTATTCTACATTTTTAATTGTCGAAGTATCAACTTCTCTATTTTTTCCTGTCGTTGAATTTTTTGAATTTTTTTTTGAATTCTCTTTGGTGTGTGTTTGAATGAGGTAATTGAAAATTTTTAAAGAATTTAAAATTTTAAGTAATTTAAATGATTTAATTGAAATCCATTCATTTTTAAGTTCTTTTGTTTGGATGGAGTATTAAAATAATTCGTCGTTAAATTTTTAGGATCATTTTCATAAATTTTACAACTTTTGAGCCAAATTTAAAATATGAAAAATAGGGACCAATTTGTAAATTTTTAAAATTTGAAATGACTAATTTGTAAAATTTGAAAAAAAAATTAGGAACTTATTTGCAATTTTTAAAAAAAATTTAGGTTAAATTTGAAATTTTTATAAAATATGAGGATCATCTTTCAAATTTGAAAATTTAACAATTGTATGATATAGAATGAATGAGTAATTTCAAATTATTTACTTTTTGTTGTCATTTGAAATTCTTTAAATTTAACTTTAGTAAAATACTTCATAAATTTATATCATTTTAACAATTCTCTATATTTTTTATTCAAACAATGAATTTTGGTCAAATCATTTTAAATTCTTTCAAAAAAATTACTTTCTCTCATTAAAATGCTCCATCCAAACACACTCTTAGAGAATTATTTGAGTTTCTCATTATTTGAGTAATCACAAAGTGATTTTTTTTTCTCTTTAGAAAATTATATGAATTTATCATTGATTGATAAATTATTTTGAGTGGTCAAGTGATCAAACGATCACTATAACAAGGAAGTATGATGTTAGTCACTACTTGAAGTATTATACGGTAGACGAAAGATCCGTGTAGGTTCAATGTCACAAATTTCAAAAGATTGCTCATGAGATCATCACTAGGTATGTCTTTTGATGAACAATTTTGAATTGCTTTTATTATTGATAAACTGCCCACAGTTTGAATATTTTTACAAATTTTTCTTTGCTCAAAAAAAGAATTTTTAATTGAGATTTTGGTAATTCGCCTTTGAATTGATGAAGAATCTCAGAGACAAGATAAAAAAAAAGGTCTGGGTTGTTTCAAACAACAAAAAGAAATTTAGTGTAGTTCTAAAGCCATTTGAAAAATGATTAAAGAATCAGAACGACAATATTGTCAACCAAATTAAGAATAAGAACTCTTTAAGGGTCTCAATTACTCCAATTTATAGGTAACAACAATCAACACAAAGAAATGACACTGTTGTTTTCTCTTGCTTCAACTATGGAAAACCGGACATATGATTAAGGTAGGATCAAGATTAAACCTTGTGTTGCCCTTATTGTACATGTTAATCTGACTGGTGAGCAATTTGTTATTTTGATCATTAAAAGCATGATTGGTGAATATGATGGTTGGCGGATAGACATTGGTTCCTCTTGTCATGTTTGTTATGATCGTACATTGTCCAAAACATACATGAATAAGAAAGTGTTGTTGGTAGTTGCCCAAACCGCTAATGTTGTCAGTATTGGAGAAGTGGAGCTGAAATCCACTTCCAACAAGACTTTAATTTTGAAGGATGTCATGCATACTCCTAAGATTATAAAGAATCTTGTTTCTGATTTTCTTTTGAATAAGACAAAGTTTAGTTAGTCTTTTCAGATAGATTCGTACACCATAACTATGAATGATATTTTTTTATGAATTAAATTGATATGTTTAAGACTTTTGTGAATGAAATTGAAAATTAATTTAGTAAGAAAATTAAGACGTTTCCGTAGCGAATGGGGAACTGATTATGGTTCTAGTTTATATATGTAATCTCAATCTTACGAATATTCAATTCGAGACCTAAATTTGGACCTGCCTCCCGAATTATGTTAAGGGCTTTAGCCACTTCCTGTGAATCCTCTATAATGGCTTCGTCATCAAGATATCAAGTATGAAGAAGCTTACAATTGTTAATTGTCTTTAACTTGATATATGAGTGGGTGTAACACAAGTGCAAAAAAGAGCAGCCCTAACGAGTCACCATGTTGCATTTCAGTGGCTCTCATAACATGTTCATCCCCAAAGTACAACCTCGTTGTATGACCATAAAGAAATTTAATTCACAAAGAAATAGATGAGCATCTCACCCTCACTTTACACAATAAAACTTATTGATCTATCGTTGAAAGCATTGAAAAAATTTATTATTAACATAGGCAAAGAATCATCTTCGTATTACTTGCTTAACACCCTTTTAACATTGTGTAAATGACTTAACATCACCGGATACTCCAACCCCAACGTAAAAGTCATTAAGATAACGCCACACATCTAAACTATTAAAATATCTTTAACTCATCGAGTTAAAAAATCTTAATTACAATGGAATTATATTCCAAAAAAAATCATTGTTTGGAGACGAATGAAGACTGAAAAAGTCTACACATATAGGTTGGTAATACAGTAGCTGATTTGTCTTGTTTACATTACTTAACCTCGGAATAAATAAAGATTAAATAGCTTAGTTGACTAATTTGGGATGGATTAGGACAAAATCAACATCATAAAATGATGATATTTCTTCACCGAAAGGAGTTTCAACATTGTTGTTATTAGCACCATCCTCTCTTCCTTATAAGTATGTAATTCTTTTCATGACCAATAGCGTTCGTTCATCTCATTTTTCACGTGTCCTTTCAAAACTTAGTCAATACTTCCATGATATTCATTTTGTTCTCATAAGGTTGCGTTTACAAATTGTCTTACCAAAACACAAGATAATTTAACAAAGATGCTAGTTTACATAGAATACAATTATTTGAATAGAAAAAAATAAAGAAAAAGACCATTGATAACTATATGACTAATATTTATTTATGTTACAACTTAAAGAAAGTTCAACTCTTATCAAGAAAAATCAGTCATTAACAACTACTCCTAATTAAAAAAAACTTCGACATATATGTTTTAATCCTTATTTTCCTAATTTATTTGAAGAATGTTTTGTATAGGGGACAAAGTGTTGTATTTTGAAGAGGATATAAAATTTTTGAAAAAAGAAAACTGTTTGTATTATTGATATTGAGATTGTAATTTTTTGTGTCAAAGCAAGTAGTATTTGACATAAATAAAGATGTGTTAAAAATTTTAATAAGTGTAGAGTTATATAAGATATCGAAATGTCGAAGTAGGTTGCTTCACACCGAATTTAGACTTAGACCGAAATAGGTATTTTGGGCTTTTGTATATTTTGGGCTTTAGCTTAGGGAGCAAGTTAGCTCAATTATAAATAGTG